ATCCTCCCCTCCCTCCTGAGGGGTGCCAAAATTTTGCTCCAGGAATTTGCCTCCTAAGTGGGTGGAGGGCAGTGGAAACAAAATCAGAATCCATTCTGTTAGAGGTTTGTAGGTTCCCACTGTCAAAACGGCCTATAATATAAACCTGGGTACTGTAGCATGTTAACACCCTATCTAGGTTTTTAGTAATATTAGCAGTGTGGCTGTAGGAATGCCAAAGTAGGCCTCTTGGTCTGTCCACCATTTTGGTCCATACTGAAATATCTCATTGACTATTAGATTGTTAGAACATTTTGTACCAACATTCATGGCCCCCTCAAGTTATGTAGTATTCACATTAGTCAATAAAGCAAAAATAAAAAATATAAATGAGAACAAAGAATATAACAAGAGTGCTTTTAGAAATCATGTCCAGAGAAAGCTGAATATCTAGATTTCTATGGCTATATTCACATTACCTACTGAAACAACCCAAATCTGATTTTTTTTTTCTCCATATGACTTGGATCTTTAAACGAAATTTTCTTAAGACATTTTTTCAAATCAGATCTAGGCCACTTGCATATGTGGTCTTAGATCTGATTCATATCCAATCTTTGACTATGCAACTGCTGTCAGAGCAGTGAGGCACATATCGCTTGTCATCATCATTTAGTGTCAGCCCCTCACAAACCAGTAAAAAGAAACATGGAGGAGAGCAACAACAGCGACATTTCACATTTGTTGGGCATCTATGGAGAAGCTTGTTGTTCAAGCCAGACTAGAAGGAACATATTGTGACTGAACGCTTGTCAGGAAATTGCATGATTAGATGCACAAATTACATTGTTGTTATTCTTGTACACACAGGGCTCACATTTCAGTTCAATCTGTGCATGCATGGCAGTTTATGGCATCAGCGATGTTCACGTCAATAAGAAACATGCTAATATAAAACGAGTATATGAAATTAAATTTCTAGGTGTCATAGTTGATGACAAATTCTCCTGGAAATCTCATATCAGACATGTTCAGCACAAAATAGCAAAAAATATATCGATATTGGCAAGGGTTAGATATATTTTGGACGGGAAAGCACTACGCATTTTGTATTC